TCTCTCTCTCTCTCTCTCTCTCTCTCTCTCTCTCTCTCTCTCTCTCTCTCTCTCTCTCTCTCTCTCTCTCAGAACAACACAGCTCTGAGGATTGAATAAAGAAAGTGTAGTAATCACGCTGTTGGTGAGGAGATCTGCTTCATCTGGCCTTTTAAGGACATGAAAGTTCTGGCTGCAGTGTGTCGGTGCAGTTTGGACCCACAAAGACTAAACACACTTCGTCCTCACATTGTCGGCACGCCATCAGAACCGTTTGTTTTTACTGGCTGTTGGGATTTTATTCTTTATTTTTTAAATTAATTTTTTATTTATTTTTTTTGCTATTTTTTTGTGTGTTGGTTTAATCACAAAATCCTCAGATTGAACCCGCTCAACATCCTGAGGTGATCTGCTGTATGATTTGAGTTGTTTGTGCATGAAGGCTGATTTCACACAGTTTACATTATGTCACAACTTCAAACATCTTTAAAATGAAAAACAAACCAGTTTTTCAGAAACTATAATTTGACCTCTGAAGTCATTTTCTTTGCAGTCGCTGAGGTAAGAAAATGTCTCTCAGGTGAGCTGCTGGCATTTTGGGGGATTTCTACATCACACAGCTCAGAGAAAAACAATCCGGCTTCTCAGTTTTCATTTCCACGCAGCTTTAACTTCAGATCGTGCTGCATTCACTGTACCTTGGAAATGGGATATTTTTTCTTTTTGCTTTAATGTTAACACCAAATTGTTATGTGCTGTTACATTAACTCTCAAATAAAAATAATGTTTTAATGTTTTATTAGATATAAAAATAGTTGTGTTGTCACTATATAATCTGCCACTGTATAATCTTCTCTAAACACACAACTACAGTTAGGAAATATTAAATGTCTGGGTATTAATATTTCTTCTAGATTGGAAGATTTAATAAAYTTAAACCACATTCCTCTTTTAAAGAAAATTAAAGACGATCTTACTAGGTGGAGATCTCTACCCATATCCCTCATGGGAAGAYTTGCCTCTATTAAA